GGGGGTGGCACTGAGGAGAGAGAGAGTTGTGCGGTTCTTAGGGGAGCTGTGCAGCTCTCAGGGGAGGGCTCCTGCTGCCTGATCGTGACTGTCCCTGACTTTTCCTTAGAGGTGGCCCGAACCTGGGCTCGTGTGCCAGCCGAGAGGGGCCCCGCGTGCCCTCTCTGGCACGCGTGCCAAGGTGGTCCTTTTTGCTTAGCTGCAGACCAGCATCTTTTAAAGGGAGATTCTCTCTCCTAATGGAACATATCTCCTCTCTTTCTGGTCAGGGAGATTAATCTCCGACCACCGACCAAGTAGGCCCTTCTGTGGTAGCGCGGATTGCAGATTGTAGCTATGTGCATGTCTTTCGTTTTGCCCTTCTCATGGACAGCCTTTTCTACGTATGTAAGCCCCTCTGCCTGGGGAGGCATTATGGCACTTTTTTGGAAAAGTGACATACACAGATGTGTGACAACTGTGCAGAAGAGAAACACAGTACATAAACCACCAGGACAGCACCAGGACAGCATTAGAAGCTTTGCTGTGGCTCAAGAAGTCTGACACATCTTTCGCTGAGCAGAATGTTGCGTTCTGGCCCTCTCAAAGGTTTGCATCCCAGAAGTGGAGAATTGGCAGGCAGACCTCCTACGCCATCAGCATCTTGATCCATACTGTTCTCAGAAATAAAATGTAAATCCAGCTAAAACCTTTTTTATGGAGTTGGATAAAGTGTGGAAGGGTGGGGCGTGGCCTGAGCATGGCTGAGTGAGGACGTGCTTTTCCGGAGCTCTGCACAGTCTCCTCTCCCACACGTTGCCAGCGGACGATACTGACCCTACTCACCCCCTCCCTGCATGTCACAGCCTCGCCGACCCCGGAGCCCCTCACCTCCGTCCTCTTCCAGCGGTATTCGGGAAGTATTTCGGCAGCAATCAGCGGACGGGCCCGCACGAAAATCCGGCCAAGATGGCGACCGGCCGCCTCACTGCAGTGAGTAGCACGCCAGGCAAACAGACTGCATCTGCCCCTGACACCGCTTGGCCGACACAGCTGGCCTCTTTGGCACCTAACATACAGCGGGCAGATCGTGAGCTGTCCCCGATCCAGACCCCCAGATTGCCACAGGCTGAATCCCCCACGAGATCGGGACTGTTTCAGATCAACCCCCACATAGGGATACCCCGTGCATTGTGCATCGGGTGGATACACTTGTTGATTTACCGGTACTTACGACCCCGGGGGGTTGACCCGGTGGAACCTCTCCCTCTTGTGCCTTTTCTACCTCACACCTGCTCCCGGACGGGACACCTGCACTCCTTCTGCTCGGCCTTTCCTTGACTTTTCCTCCAGCCTAACATATCTCCCATCTCAGGAGGATGGAGCGGACAGGCACGTTGGATACGGCAGCGTAGTTATACATAGAATTTGGTTGCCACTGTACACACCCGACACAGCCCAGGGACGTTATCTAGGATATAATCTGTACCTTAGCTAACAACACTCATAGGTCCACTGGGGTGTCAGGGTCAGACGATTCAGATCGGATGGTGTTGTCATGACGTTGAAGATTTTTCTTGCATGTATGCCATGTACTTGTAACCAATGCTTCTGTATGTCTCTTGTGCACATGCTTGTATCACATATGTGATCAGTTAATAAAAGAATTTAAAAAAAAAAAGTGTGGAAGGGTCAGTTTTTTATGCCCTTTCCCCTCTGTGTGTCAATAGCCACTAGAACTGTATTAAGTGATCAAAAGTGAAGAAAGTTAATAACCTTTTTAACTCTACTAAAAAGGGTTTCTTTCTCAGTTTGTGGTCTCATTGGATGTATGTCCTTCTGTTGGAAAGATAAACATAATTTTCTGTATGTGTAGATGGGGTCACCATCACTGGGACGGGATGATCATCACTGGGACTTGATGTTTTCCAATTCACTGCTTTATGGTATCTAAAAACAAAAAATATTTGACTGCAGTTCTATTTTAAACTGATGTATTCAGTACTCTTCAGATATAAGCTTGATTCTCACTCAGTAGTCATTAAAAATTAAAACATATTTTATTATAACTTAAGTATAAAAACCAGTCAGACTAATTTGTGTACATATTAATTGAAGGTCAACATAAAGATCAATGTAAGTTGTACCACCATGATATAATCAGTTTAAATATACACTGACAGGTGACAATTTTTTTTTCTAGGTTCCCCAACATGTTTCGCCATTTCCCGGCTTCCTCAGGAGAACTTCAATACCTAGAATTATGTTCAAAGAAATAGTACAATAAATATCAATATCATGTCAAATTGATTTTCAAATTGATTGCAAACAATGTGGGTCAAACATCGTAGGACGACTCCCCTGTGGGGGGACACCAAAAGGCAGGCTCAGACACCCCAAACACAGAGAGAACTTGAAGTGGATATAAAAACTCTAAACAATATATATCTGTAGATGTATATCTATTGCCAATAAATACATTCTAGTAAAAACCACATTTGGTTGTGCATAAAATCATCACCAACTTCCAAATTTAAGTAACACATTATATTGTATCTATTTAAACGTACTTGTATACAGAGGGACTTGATCAAGTGAGAAGAAAAGAAAAAAAAATAGGTTGTGATAAAGTGTAAATGGTGTCTAGTGTTACTTTATATTCTACGTATGCGTATCCCACATAGATATACCCAAATTACTGATACAAATATTACCCGCTACGCAAGTGATTCAATGCTAATTAGTGTTGTGATAAACTATTATATCACCTCCCTACATAAATACAGGTGAAACTCGAATAATTAGAATATCGTGCAAAGTTCATTTATTTCACTAATGCAACTTAAAAGGTGAAACTAATATATGAGATAGACTCATTACATGCAAAGCAAGATAGTTCAAGCCGTGATTTGTAATAATTGTGATGATTATGGCTTACAGCTCATGAAAACCCCAAGAACCCCAAATCCACAACCTCAAAAAAGTAGATTATTACATGCAATCAATAAAACAAGGATTGTACATAGAACAATATCGGACCTCTGAAAAGTACAAGCATGCATATGTACTCAGTACTTGGTTTGGGCCCCTTTTGCAGCACTTACTGCAATTACTTTTGCACTATATTCTAATTATTCGAGTTTCACCTGTATGTATCTCTCTAAGAAACAGTCCAGACATGTACCAGAATAAATTATTCCACCAAATTAACTAAAAATTGTGAAAAAACAGGACCCCCTAAGGGGAATAATAGAAACATCTCTAAGTATGGCTCAAAGCAATCCATTGTAAATGTGTAATATTACTCAGTCCAAATCAAACTGTAAAAATCACAACAAAAACCCATAACACCAATGTGTATAATAGCCACCCAGTGCTCACCATACCTGGGATCCAACACACATGATTGCAAGAGTCCAAAACATGGTGTTACCTCATTTGCAGCCAAACCTAGTCTCTCCGATGTAATAGAGCCTACACCATTTTGCCTACCTCTTATGTACCCCCACATTGTCTTGTGATAAACCCGACCCCACGCCCAAGGGGCATGCAGACTGCGCGGTCTGGGACGCTGTCTCAGAATGATCACGTGGCTCAAAAGCCCGCGCATGTGCAAAGGAAGACAGATAAACGGGACAGCAATTTGACATTGGGGCGGGGCCAGATTGTACACACCTCACCCATCCCCCAACTGTACACAGGATATGAAGACGCAGGAATGTGCTCTGAGCTGTACATTCAGAACACCTCAGTCACTGTTCTCCCTTTATCGCAGGTCATGCCAAATATGCAATCGGC